TCCCCAAACTAACTAGCATATCTATCGATCTTTTCACTCTCTAAACAAAAAACAAAAATAACGCAAAAATGTCACAAACGGTTAATTTATATTTCAAAAAGAGTTGGTTTCACGGTAAGTCATATATATGACAGCATTTAGTATTTTCAAAAAGTAATTAGGTATAGAGTTTCAAGTTTATGAACAATATAACTAATACGTTATTGCGTAAACCGGTAGAAATAGAGAGAAAAAGAGGATCAAAGATGTAAAGGAGTGCCAAATGTGTGACTCCCAATAGAAAAGACAAAAGTTTGTATAATGTTTTCATAGGTAACCTTAGTTAGGCCTTTCTCTTTCCATGTCCTAACAACATGCATATATATATAAATGTCTTACTACCATTAGCTTTAGCCATTCTCATTTTTGGCTCATTGGATTATTGTAGGAGGAAACTATGGAGATAAGGAAAAGTCAAGTGGTCATGCTAGTTTTGTTGGCAATAATGAGTCTAATGGTGAGTCAAGTGGCCTTAGCGGAGAAGTATTCAGGCTCAATGGCTCCTCATGACCGGCAAATAGCGGAAATGCAAGCCCTTAAAGCTTCATTGGTTCGCCGAAACCTACCGCCTTTGGTATCTCCTCCTCCTACCCCTCCTCAGGTATATATATACTATAGCTTCTCTATCGTAATAACGATCTTATACTTTAGCTATGATTGAGTCTGTTCAAAAGGTTTTGCTTTATAGTTTTAGATTCATGAAATGATACATGATATATGATGAATACATGGTATAGGCAGTACCCGGTCCGCGAGTGTATCAAGTGATATCATATGGGGCTGATCCCACGGGGAAATTGGATAGCACGAATGCGATATTAAAAGCTATGGAAGATGCATTTGAAGGTCCAAATCATGGAGTTTTGATGGAAGGTATAAATGATCTTGGGGGAGCAAGAATTGATCTTCAAGGTGGAAGCTACTTAATTAGCCGTCCTCTCCGGTTTCCCTCAGCCGGCGTCGGAAATCTCCTCGTAAGTATCTCTTATTTTCCGATCTCAATTTTGTCAAACTATATTAAAATTTGTTCATTGCAAGTCAACATATAGAAGTTAGATTTGTTCCGTACGTGTGAGTTAATATAGCGACAATGTCATGATGAAATAAATATTTGTATTCATGTTCTATGTGACATGATATGACAATGCATCCATATGTTAGGTAGATATTTTAGTAGAACCTTAGTTTAAACGTAAACTTGATTAAGGTTTTGGTGAAACATTGGAAAAGTAACTAAATCAAAATTTTCTTTTCTTTCACGAGAATAGAATGATTCCTTTCTTTCTATGCATGTTTCTCTCATAATTTCAAACATTATGACTTTTTATAACTCCCCAACAAAAGAAGTTTCTTTCGATTTAAAATTAATTATTTATGAGATTTGCTTCCTTTTTTCTTGTCTTCTTTTGCATTCAAATAGAAAAATATCAAAAATTCCTATCAAAG